TATGTTATATATATATATATACAATATATATATATATATATATATTTGTATATATATATTCGAACAGTCAATTATAAACTGATACAGGTATATATTAGCCAATCAAAAAACAATTGAATTAATTATGTAATTACGAATAAAATTGGTTCAAATTCCAAACTGTTATATGTTGTTTATTTTTATGAAATCAAATAGGCGTATACATTTCTGTATATATACACGAACGTAGAATTATATATTCAAATATAAGTCAAGTCGTTTATGAGCAGATTCACATAAACAAAGATGTATACAAAGTCTGTCATTTTATTCTCTGGAGGATACAAAATGAAACATATACAAATTTACATACACACACACATACAAATACATATACATACATAGATGCATGCATACATACATATATATTGATATATACATACTTACATTCATGCATACATACATACATACATACATACATACATACATACATACATACATACATACATACATACATACATACATACATACATACATACATACATACATACATACATACATACATACATTTATGCATACATACATGCATGCATCCATGCATGCATACCTGTTCTGTTCTAAACAAGTGTCTCAAACATGTTTATTTACATTTTGTTTGCGCAGATATAATTGATGCGTAGTGATGATAACGATGACGAAATGGAATTTATTGTGCTGTCTGTCTAAAAGTTTTTATTCATTCATTCTTTCATTTGTCATTCAATTTTGTTTATTTGTCTGTCTTTGATTTATTCGTTTTTTTATTCATTTAATCATTCATTCAATCACTCATTCATTCAAACATTTATTCATTCAATCATGCATTCATTCAAACATCCTTAAAAACGTTCAATGAAACATTCATTTATTATATTTATAAGCAAAACATTCAAATGAAACAACATAAGAAAAACAACGTGTTTTCAATGAACACTTTCTTAGTTTACTGTAACTGATTAATTAATTATAAATTAATTTTTATAACAAACAAAAAAAATTACTTTAAGAAAAAAGTTGATCAGACATCCATTAATAAATAAATGAAAAACAGTACAAGTGACTAAATCGTCATTAATATAAAAATAAACACTTAACTCAAAACAATTTTTAACCATAAATACAATTTTAATTTTTCAAACCGTAACTACAAACGTTTAAAAAATAAACGTCTCGATGTAATTAATTAATAAATAAAGAAATAAAAATAATTTAGACAAAAAAGATTCATAAAGAAAGTCTAGTAGAAATTTTTTCACTGATTAGATGAAACTTATATCATAGACTTTGAAAATAGGATGAAGACTGTACTTAATAACTGTGAATAAATTATTTCCACACGCATAAAACAGTTAAACATGTTAGCGTGTTATGTAAATTAATCACATATTTAAGCTACTTGGAATGTTATAAATAATTATAGACAAAATTGAGCAATAGAAATTTACATTAAAATGAAGAAAAATGGAAAAAATTAATTTCAAATAATTAAAAATATTTGATTCATAATTTTACAGTGTAATTTCATATTATTTTAATTTAATTTGTCAACAAAATTAAAAATCAGATATTTAAGATATTAACACAAATAAAGGTGAAACAAAGAATATAGAGGTTGATAAAAATTAAAGGCCATAATTATAAATATTAATGTAAAAAAATTTATACAGTATCATAACTTATACATTTCACATACGAATACATGTATAAACACAGATAAACCAACATGCACATGTGTATATGACCTCAAACTAACACGTGCACACGTGCTTCGAATCACATAGAGATGAATAATATACGTACTATATAGAAGCATTATGCATGTCTATGCATACAAACAAGTGTAATACATGTTTATAGAAACATGTGCGTGTGTATAAAATTACATATATTTATCAGTATATGCATACATATGTATGTTTATATGTCTATATATAACAATAAATATACATATATACAAACACACACAAATATATATATATATATATATTATATATTTATATATATATATACATTATTGTGTATAACCTTCTAGTTGTATGAAATATATAGATGTTCTAAGCAACACATAACTCGAATGTATGGCTATATGGTAGGCAATAAAAGCAGAAACGTTCAGCAAATAAGATACTAAAACCATAATAAATTCGTTTGTTCGTCAGTTTTATGTGGTCTTTATGAGCTATAAACGTTACTTTTGAGCTCATTAAAAACACCTCCATATTAAATTATCACTCGTTATTTTGACGGTTTCCTATCCTGTCGGTATTGTTACTGCCGGTTTTATATCATGCCGACTTCCTTGGTGTCCTTTCGTGAAGATTAACTACCTTTTTATGGACCTAACTATCGCCTTGTAAACTAGGAAAGGTCAACACGTAATTTTTTTTTCCTGCCCAGTGCTAGCTTATTATTTTGATTCTTGTGACTGATTTTTATTTTTTTCCTCCTCCCAATAAATGTTTTTTAAGGCGTAATAAAAATAAAGATATTGTTGATTAATTATGAATGATTTCCCGTGAATTAAACTAATTAAAAATTAAATTAATGAAACGTTGTTAACATTGAAGTTGTTATAAAGATTATGATATAGAGGTTAAAAAAATTCTAAAGGTACAAGAAACACAAGGAAAAATACAAATAAAAAAGTTAGCAAATTTTTTCATAATTAAATATATAATTTCTATTATTATTATTATTAATAATTATATTGATAATAGAATGTAATATTTGGTATTGAAAACAATTATTATTATATTTTGTGTTGTTTATGCTTGGAAACACGTGTGCAATACTTCAGATATAAACATCACTGACATCTGTCAATCATTTGCAAATTATTAGTGAAACTGTTGATAATAGCGATATTATTTTTATTTTATTATTATATATACTCATATATATTTACAATTCTTTTACTATATTTTTGTTAAATTTATATCGTAGTATCAATCTTCTTATTCTTAAAATGCAAATATAGAAAAAAATTTTCAAATAAAAATGCGAATTAAAAATAAATTCACATTAATACATTTAAAATTCAACTGGACTGACTTTAATTTATTAAAATAAGATTAATTCATCAAATAATTTAATTATAACAAGTAGGTTAAGTTTCTGAACTAATACGCGAAAAGAAACTCACTATCTAGACAATAAGATAAAACAATTTGGATGCTTTCACATGCCTTTAGCATTATTATTTTACAAAGCATTATCGAAGTTTAAAAAAAAAGGATTTACTTAAATTATTGCTCAAAATAATAATAAAAAGATTGATCTAAGTACTACTCATAATAAGAATAATAATAATAATAATAACAACATTAACTAGCTAGGTCATCTGATTAATACATTTATTATTATTACTATTATTATTTTCGATTATTCATTCTTTCATTCTGATCAATTAGACATATGCTGCCTACAAGGGACAAACGTAAACTTGTCAAATAATTATACATACACACACTCACATGTGTTATTGATTTGTTGCTGAGTTGATGTTTTTTGTATTAATAATATTTCTGATGAATAATTTTTTTAGAAATTTTTTAAAAACAAATAATTATTTTTCTTCCTTTTTGAAATTAATCAATTTTAGATTAAAAAATGGGCAGAAAGAAGGTTTGTTCTTATTGATTTGTCGAGTTGTTGTTATCCTTTGTCTATTAACCTTTCATATTTTCAATGAAGTAACATTACAAAAAAATCAAATTTGTTAACAAACTCTTCAGTTTATATTAGTTTATGGACGTTTGAAACGTGGGCTGCAATGAAAACATTTGACGAGGTGTATAAAAGTATATAAGTTTGAAGGTTTTTAATATTTAAAAATATATTGCAAGGGTAAAAATAATGAATATGACTGTGTATTTGAATGTCTGGATTAAATTTATGATGTGGTCATTTCTTACTTCCAGTATAACATTTCATTCACAACAATCCAGTTCTACACCATCAAACAATCATTCTAGAAAAACTTAATTTCAACTAAATTACAATTAAAATTTTCATTAACTGAAACTCTAACAGATAGCAGCATTTAATACCCACCAAATGAACTAACAATGATGATGAACCCATACTACGGACCAAGCACCTTTGCTTCCCCTTCAGCTCTCCTCGAGCCACCGCACCACCTCATGCCTCACCACTTCTCCGCCACGAACAACAACATCAACAGACGCCATCACACCAGCGGCGTATCACAGCACCAACAAATGACTCCACAGCAGCAACAACATCACAACAGCATCAACCTACAAAATCCATTCTCCGACGCCAACATATTCGGAAGATCGATATACGATACCGTCAATTGTAACGATTATCTCGGTAACAACTTACTCGACCAATCTCTAACCATGCCCACGAGCACACCCATCCAGAGCCACCATCAGCGTCTCGATACCAAAGATTACTCTAGTCCCGCCAATATCATGCTACCATCGCTTCATAAGGGCAGACGACTTCTCGATGACGTAGATGATGATCTCATCGATGACGACACGATGGAGGCCAGGTACCAGCAGCATCAGCATCAGCAGCACATGTTGCGTGGTGGAGGAATGCACATGCAAAATTCACTGCTCTCCCCACATCACATGCCCCATCAGCAGCACATGTCGTCGTCGATCAATAATCTCCACCACACTCATCATCATCCTCACCATCATCAACAGCAGCTTCTAGAGGACAGCTACGATCTAGCCACGCAGTTGAACCAGTGCAGTTCCAACCAGTCTCTGCTTACCGGCAACAATTCCTCATCCAGTGCCAATTTTCTCTCTCCATGGCAACAAAACCACCCATCATTACATTCTCACCTCACCCACCTATCATCATCCACTCATCTTCCCCATCATTCTTCCAGCACTTCCGGCAATCAGCTGAGTCCCAACACCAGGGATTCCATCTCGCCGCAGCAGCAACAGCAGTCGACAAAGCAGCCACTCGTGCAAACTGCCAGAAAATCTGACGATATGATTCCTTACAACTCCCCACCGTCTACGGGTAGTAGCAGCAGTAGCGTCAACAACAGCAACTCCAACGGCAACAGCAACAATACTAACAGTTTAAATAACACAAGCAGTAATAGTAACAGTAATAGCAACAATAATAATGGTAGTAGTAATACTAGCTCTAACGGAGGAAATGGCAGCGTTCCATTTTATCCTTGGATGAGTGTCGTTGGTTAGTAATTATTAATGTCGGTTTAAAATTATTATTTCATAATTTTTAATTATTATTATAATTTAATACAATTAATTAATTTCTGAAAAATTATTGTAAAATCTGACTTTTCAAACTGAAACAAGAGAAAAATTTTGAAGCGATCCATCTTCCTCCTACTGACGTGATGTGATATGGCATATACACGCATACAACCGCCAGTGCGTACAACCAGCCATGTATGCACTGTATGTATGTACGTATGCAAATGTATACCACATATACAACACATGTATATCTTTGTATATACGCGTGTATGTAGAAATGTATGTTTATGCATATGCATGTATGAATGTGGAATGTGTAAATGTATGAATGTATGTATGTGTGTGTGTATGTATGTATATATGTATATATGTATCTATGTATGTACATATATATGTATGTATGTACGTATGTATGTATGTTTTAATGTATTTAACACACGTACCATACTTTGGCAGGTACTGTAGTATTTGTATATTGATACTTGTACAAAATGGTATTAGGTCTAGAATGATGACAAATGTCGATTGTGGTGCCAATTGTGAATACAACAACGATTATTTGTCGGGATTTTTAAACAGTTGAGAATAATAAAACAATTGATAATATTATGACGATTGTATTATTAAGATATGATGAACGTTTTGACTGTGACAGAAACAATATTGGTAGTTAAAATGATACAGTTAATGATAAAAATGATATATTTAATGATAAAAAAGATACATTTAAAGATAAAAATGATACAGTTGATGATAAAATGACGAAATAATAAAACATGACGTAAAAGATTTTCACGGTTATATGATATAAAAAAAAACGATTTCAATTATGAAAAATAAGAAAATCTTGCTTGTCACACTCATACAAATTAATTAATCATTAATTGCAAATAGTTAACTTAAAAAAACCCGCAATATATGTATGTAAGTGCACAACCTAACGGTACGTAGAGATCTTGTCGCATTCGAATCCAGTCATTGCAGCGAAATGGTCAAGCATCTTCACCATTGCACCATCTCGATATTGAGTGAATAATTATACAATGAACGCCAACCTCAGGATTAAGACATCATCATCAAAAACGTAAAAAAAGAAATCATTCATCACCCTCAACATAGATCATATCGTTCAAATCAATACTCTGTCGATACAACATGCCACAGCGAATCGTCGTCAGTATTTCATCGTCATCAATAGCGCTGCTTCGTCATCGTTGCAATCATCATTTATCATCATCGTCATCTTTTCATTTGCTGTTATAATCATATTCTATCACACAATTCATCATAAAATTAAGTTTGTAAATACATCGAATGGTTAACCTTATTTAACCCCATTAAAAATAATGATAACAAACAAGAATAATAATATTAATAATAAGAATAATAATAAACAAATAATAATAACATTTATTGATCATATAAACAAGTACTGCCACTACTAATAATAGTAATAACAATAATGAGAAGTGATGCAAATAATAATAGTAACAATTAGCACTGTCTGAAACGTCGGAGTGTCATCTGGAAATTTTTCTTTTTTAATTAATCATCATTCAATTTATCAATTTGACGTCATCATCATCGTCGTCATCGTCTTCACCACCAATTCATCATTATCGTCTCATCAAAATTATATCCATTTGTGTACGCTGAGTGTACAAATTTGCGTGTAATTTGCATCTAATTAATATGTATATATTAAAATGTATGTATTTTTAATACAATAAATTAATATGTATGTATTAAAATGTATGTACATGTAATACATCTAATTATTATCTACGTCATATCATAATTAACGTCATAAGCATCATCATCTGGATCATCATTATCGTCGTCTTCATCAGCATTATCATTACCTTCATCGTCTTTATCATCATCAATGTCATTTTTGTTATCATCATCTTTATCATCCCACACTCGTCGTCATTTTCATCATTGTCAATACACCATAAACATGGATTACATCATCATTGTCAATTCTATCATCATCGTCTTCATCATCATCCTCATCACAATTTCTTTCTACTCATCATCGTTAATTTATTGCGGCCTTCATCAGCATCATTACCACCGTTGTCAATTTCATCATCTTCATCGTCATCATTGTCGTCCGCATCATTGTCAATCAATTTCAACGTCATTTTCAGCATTATCATATCATCAGCATCATCATCATCTTAATCATCATTGTCAATAATCATTTTATTATCTTCATCATTGTCAGTTTATCCCGGGCCAAAACTCCATTTTGTTAATAAGGACTTGATCTTTGCAATTCTAATCATCATTATAATACTTATTATTATTATCATCTCGTTGTCATAATCTTATCATTCTAGCATGATTTCATCATTCTCAGTGAGATATGTATATCTGAGTGAATAACGATTAAATTTATAATCTTTGTATATATATATATATATATATATATATATATATATATATATATGTCTGTCTATTATATATTTTTTCATTATATATTTCCAATTGTTTATATTATTTACTAATATATATATATATATATATATATATATATATATATATATATATATTATTGTTAAACCATTACCCGCAATAGGCCAGGCGTAGGCTTCGACTCTCACAATATTTATTTATAGATATATATCTACTTGTGATATCTCAATATCTATTTGTATATCTATTTATTAAATCTATATCTATTTGTATCTCTATCTAATATTAAGTGCAACAGTTATCAGTAACCACATCTCTAAATAGTTTGCACGGGAGAGTAATTCTAATTCCCTCATCAAACTGCCAGCACTTGTTTGAAGCGATTTTTAAAGGTATAAATATGAAAAAAAACTTGTAGATGCTGTTTGATGTTGCGGATACCTCTTCCATATTATTTGAAGGGAATGATTACTTCTGTGAGAGTGAATAGTTTTAATATTAATCATTGTTGAAGATGTAACATATTTTTCGGAATGGGTCTTTTCGCGAATGCAGGTGTTAACGCGTCCTGTATGCTAAGATAACATCTTAATGTCTGCTCTGCGTTGTGCGTGTGCGTGAGCACGTACGAGCTACGTACGTGTGATTGTGATTGAATAAACATGTGTTTGTATCTGTTGTTTGTTGGCTTGTTCGATTTTATGTAACGTGTCACGTCATGTATTGCGTTTGTTTTTTTTGATTGTTTTGTGTATGCGTGTGTACTTGCGAACGCGCGCGCGTGTGTGTGTGTGTGTGTGGTTTGGTTTGCGGATGTGTATGTTTTGTGTTTAATGTAGTGTCTCTGTGTGTCGGCGCGTCTATGCCTTTTGGTGTTATTTGTATATTAATCAGCACGAAGTGTGATAATCTGTATCTTGCGTTAAATATCGACACATCTTTTGATAAATGAAAATTGAAAATATTGAGATCTATGCGAGTATTCATCGATTTTTTCACCTTGTTTGATATTGATTGAGTGGTACAACAAAATCAACAAGGCGGATGAACAACGTGGAGAGTGTGCTTCAGAGGAGTTTATCGTGGAATGATTGGTGTAACATGGCTCTAACTGGCATTTATTATAAGAGCCATGTATCAGGAGCAAGTTTTGCTAGAAGGTGACAGGAGAAGATCCATGTAGCTTATGTGGGAAAATGAAAACGGTGGCTCACGTAATGGCTTCTTGCAAGTACGCACTCAGTCGTGGACGTTGTACGGGGAGGCACAACAAAGTATTGAAAGCACTAGTGGAATTCGTTTCCAATGTTGGTGACGAGGCAAATTCAAGGCCACCATGTAAAGTAAAAAAAATTTATTTCTTAAAAATAGTGAATTAGATCAATTCACAAGAAATGAAGTTTGCAACCAAAATAGTATTTTTGATAACAGAGATTGAAAGGTCATAGCAGATTTGGAAGGCATGAGAAGCCACCCATCGTTAATAAAAAATACAGGAGCGAGACCCGACATGGCGGTACAGTCGGTATCAACAAACACTCAGCTTAGCGTATTACTTGGCTCGTCGATATAACTCACATCGGGATATGTTTATATGTGAACTGTCTGGCACGCCTATACAATTTTTTAGTATAGAAGGAGGTGATTTCAAAGCGAGGCAAATTGTCTGTTCAGCAAGAGACATCCAAATGATCTCTAGATGTGGCCCTGTTTCCCGAAATTGCCAGGAAGTTAAGGGCCAAAACTCTCGTTGAGGGAACATTTACTCTGAGGACTCTCGCTGATCGCTCATAATATTTGAGTTTCTACATACATACATACTTTCATACGTACACATACACACCTACATAAACACAAACTCATATACACACACACATACATACATACATACATACATACATACATACATTTATACATACATACATTTATACACAAACATGTCTTGGTCCAATGCAGGCAACATCTTACTTTAACAGAAAAAAAACTTAAGGCCAGCTAAGAACATTGTCAACAAAACGCATTTGGCAAAATAATCTGTGACCAGTAGTGAATTGACAAATCAATATATTTAATGGTTTGAATGCCTATGAATGTGGTTGAATACGCTTTAGTTTGTTACGGAAAAACAAATTGTCTGAAATAAGAATTGACTTTGGAAAGTTTAAACAAAATACTTATAACATTTCATGTGTTTGCAAAGTATATTTAAGTCAATTTTTTAATTAAATGTTTATGGTACGTGAATTATCCTCCGAATTGTACTGAAGAATGTATTTAATAACAATAATAATATACTGCCTAAATAAACACCAATTTTAGTGTAGTACCGTGGCAATTTTTCAAAAATTATTTAGGAAAAATACAAAAAAGTACATCAAAACGCAAATTTTGTTTGAAGCAATTGTGGTAGATCTTGTCAAGAACACATTTATTTATTTAAGAAATCTTTATGTAGGCGTAGTTATAATGAACAATCTGAATGAAAAGTATTGAAGCTGTAGCCCTAATGGAAGATGAAACAATATCTTATCAATTGGTGATCTTATCTTGTCTGTCATTATCGCTTATTTGAAACTCACATACAACTCCTGCTAAAACTAATACGATACTGCCTTGAAGTTATGAATGTGAGATGTTTGCTTTCGTGTGTGCATTTTAAAATTACAAATTAATAAAATCAGTTGTTATAAATTGATAAGTTTTTTCGTTTAATAAATTTGTTAATAAGTTACGTGGAAACCGTCTTCTAAATGATTTCGCATTAAGAATGAAGCAAACTGACGATAGATCTAATGAAAAACTAACCTAAATGAAAAAATCTTCATAAAATTTATTCATGAACTTGTACATGAATAGAAATGATTTAATAACGTAGTAGATTATATCTCAATAATCGAGTGATTTTTTGTATCTGTAAATTTGCACTACAATGGTCAGTGCTGTGGTCGGTACAATGGTGAAAAGCAATAAGGAAAACCTCTTGCAATCGTCCATTTTATAAAAAAGCATTTGCATAAATCGTATATCATTTTTCAGCGATTTGATTTTGCTGATGAATAAATAGTACTTTAATGAATAATTGAAAAATAATTTATAGAATGAATAAAATAAAATTAATAAATTAAATACAGATATATATGATATAATTACATAATAAATAAATAAATGAATAAAACGTCAAATAAATTGACCACATAGTCGAGTTATTCTTACGTTTATTTTAGATATTAAAAATAAATTTAATCAGTGGTTCTTTAAAAGTTATTGAAAACAGTGTAGCAAAATTATACTTGTTTAAGAAGTTTGAATAATATAAATACATTATAACAGAAAATTCCTTCGTATATTCAAAACATTTCCATCCAAATGTAATCAATAACCAATAACATAGCATCTGTGTTTTTTTGTTTAATGCTGTAAATAATAAATTGTTATTTTAGTTTTTTATTTAAATAAATAAATAAGTGAATAAAAATTTTTTTTTTCAAGGACCGAACTCATCACAGAGACGCCGGGGTAGGCAAACGTACAGCAGATATCAGACGCTGGAACTAGAGAAAGAGTTTCAGTTTAATAGGTTAGATCTATAGAACAGGGAACAATCAAATTATGTAAATTATCCAGAAAAATATCGAATAAACAAATAAATATATAAATAAATTAGACGAATATAGTAAAAAAATTCATTTATAAATCATTTTATTTCACCAAATCAAATAAATGAAAAAAAGGATTGACATGAAAAACAATAGATATTATTTTTTATAACAAATCCCCCTTTTAGCAAATACTGTTATAACAATCAAATCATTTTTGTCATTTTGAATAACATTACACACATTGCCTATAACCTATAAATCAGCGTATATAAGATATTTATAAAACTATAAAAAAAAATTAAACAACAAATGTAACATTAAGGGCACAAATGTATTTATCTCCAACGTGATATAGTTAGGCGCGTGTTTTTGGCTCTATTTTTGGAATGTTTTGTAAACATTCACCTTTTAACACGTGTTATGATGATGAGTATGTATCTAGCAATAACAATAATAATAATATAAGAAAAATATATGATCATTTTTACTGATGATAATACAATAAACATACGCATTTCAGATGATGTTTCAGAGGAAAATATTGAGTTTTAGTAGGCAGTTTTATGTGTTACAAAATTTGATTTTCCAAGAGAAAGTAAAATTAATAAATTAAATGATTAATTATCTGGTCAAGGAGATTAATTGAATACGAATATAACCAATAATAATTGATATATAATTAAAATTTTCATAAATTAAAGCATTTTTATTAACTAATTATTAAGTTGAATTTTTTCACATATTGAAACTAATTGAAAAATATTATTCATCAAATCAACTTCCTCAAATTAAAAGTAATAAGCAGTAGAAGTAATAATAATAGCAGAACTAGCATTAGTTGCATTACTAGTAACAGCAGTAGTGGTAGTAGTAACAAACATAGCAGTAGTAGAAGTATCATCAGTTACTTCAACATTCTTATTATTTTCTAAACAAGCACTAACTTTGTTTCTGAAAATTACGTACATTCAGATATCTAACCAGAAAAAGGAGAATCGAGATCGCCCATTGTCTCTGCCTGACGGAGCGGCAAATCAAAATCTGGTTCCAAAACAGAAGAATGAAGGTGAAGAAGGAGAAGCAGCAGATCAAGGAGCTGAACGAAGTCGGCAAGGTGAAAGACATCAACAACGACAATGACGCGAATGACGACGACGAGAACAACAACAACAACGAAAGTTCGGAAGAGTCGGAAAATGAGTGGGATGGTAGGACGGAGAAGGAGAATGAACATTAAAATGTACTGATAACTTTAAAATTATATACTGGAGAGTAACACTCATTATAAATGTTATTGAAATTATTTATATTTTATAAACTGATAAGTGATGTTTGAATGGAATGGGCTGATGATGATAAAAAAATGATACCATCATTTTATTTATAATTAATTATTTATAATTAATTATTTATAATTAATTATTCATAATTATTAATTAGCAAAACCAATGCACTGATAAAAAAACATTGTATAAAAAGGTAGCATTTGATTATTATTACGCATTTCATCATCATTAAACTCACAGCCTCCATGTACAAACTAAGGATAACCATGAAATATTATCTCCTGATTGTTAATGAAAATAAACATAATTGGTTTAGCACTTTAGCAGTAATATTTTATTGTTATTAATTAGTAGGTAGTGATATATTACATGCACTGATGCTAATATCACGTAGCATGTATGTATGATAACGGAATGAAGATTTGGGTCATAATCCAGAGTTGTTTTTTTTCTAAATATCATTTAACATTCTGTTACTGATAACCCATTTTCAGTTTTAAGATGAAAAAAATAGTGACGATGATCTGCATTGGCTATAGAGTTGATACATTTTACTCCGATGATTTGAGAAAAATAAAATTTTTTTTCATTTTTATTATTATTACAATTATTATTATCAACATTATTATTATTCATTTCTTTTTATCGCTATATCCTATTATTTTAAATAATTTTTTTATCGTACTCTATACTTACTACCTATTGGTTTTTTTAGCATTTTAGTGAAACTAATTTGATCATTTTCATTTAACTTATTCATTTAATTATGCATTCGTTCGTTTGTTCATTTATTCATTCGTTCATTTATTCATTCGTTCATTCATTCACAAACATTAACATTAAAATAAATCATGATAATAATATAATATTATAAAGTGTGTGATAAATGACCAAATTTCTTATTAAAAATCTGAATTTAACGATTACATTAAGCACTGAATTAATTTTCATTATATATTCCTGAATTTCATTCTAAAAAATTGTATTTTTAAAATGTAAACTCTTTGTAATTGGTTTAGTAATACTCATCTCATACATTTAAAAAAAATTCTTTTTCCTTGACATTAGAGCCAAGGCAAGCTGTAACGCAAGTTATATGCTCGAATTAATTCTTCATTATTCTTCAAAATAAAATTATATAATTAAATAGTAAACTTTTTTTAAATATTCAAGCAAAATATTTATTCATCATATTCATTTTGTATATAATTTTAATCACGAATCATGCAATGTCGTAGATTTATTGTAAATAATTTAACTCGTACGTGTGTATTTATACAAATTAATAAAATTCCCTCATGTTCAAATTATTTCAGACATAATATTTACACTACATGCATAATATGAATGATCATTAAAAAATTGAATTTTATAGAACCAAATTTGTATATGGCATATTTTTATTTACTTTTTTATATTGTTTTTGAAATGATTTTGAATTGTAAAATTAATCATCACTTGTCCAACTACATTATCATTTTGTACTGAATGTTTTTTTTGTTCTCATCTATGGGTAAATTGATGACAATCATTTTTCGGTCACTGTCAGAGGATAAAAAACATTTTTTTTAATTATTTTCATGCATTTTACATAACCGCAAACAAAAACTGTGTAAAAAGATTCATCAATATTCACGCGCACATGTGCGTGTTTTTTGTATACGTATATATAATACACACCACACTCCCACACACCACACTCCCACACACCACACTCCCACACACACACTCACTTACTCACTCGCACACACACACAATTCACACACACATACACAATTAATACACACACACAATTCACACACACTCTCTTCAAAATGACAATTTTAAAACTGCGCTTATTG